ATCTACAAACATTTACTGTGGAAAGCAGATATATTGAAATGGAAACTAAAATTTGAATTGTAAAACAATATATATAATTATACATTATATTTTAAAAATTTATAAATTAAAAATATTCAATGAAAATTACAAAAGATGTCACAGTTGTCAGGTAAAATGTTGACAGAACGTGAAGTTAATGGTGGTAAACTTTATTGCATAGAAACTAACAATGTATGATGATTTTAACGTCAATCTAATGACAAATTTATGAAAAATTAATTATATGTGAAAAATATAAATAAAGATTATAATGCGTTTTATTATCAGTTTTATGGTGTGTTTTTACTATTGCATAAACCTATGAGGAAGTCTTGCAAAATAACTAATAGTAGTAAAAGGTTTATTTGATGAGAGAAGATACACTCACAGAAAAATATTTTGTTGACTTTAAGATCTTTCGTTGTATTTCTGGAATTATATGAAAAAAAAACCCATTTATAGTATCTACTAAATTGTGTGCAGTTTCAATTCAAAATAAATCTACTATAAAGATCACAAAGTACTCGTATATTGCCATCATCGAATCGTATATAGCTTCTCTGAAATATCTATAAATTACGTGTGTACCAGGGTATTTTCAAAAAATTATCAACTGTATGCTTACAATGATATATTAAAAAAATTGTCATTTACTGTACGTATATATATATATTACGATATTGTAAAAAAATGGAAAAATATTGTATTGTATATAGTAGTCGTACCATAAAACGTTGCTGACGCACAATGATATAGAATTGTTGCTGATTTTATAACACTATTAGTTTCTATAAGTTTATTATAGACCAGGTGCTGAAAAGTAGTGAGAGTACGAAATATGAAGGACTATTCTACCAGCTACTCATAAGGTCTGTTTCACCAGCTACTCGTAGTAAAACTCAAGTAAACCACAAGTAAAGTACAAACAAAGAGCGTAACAGAAAAAAGTTAAAAACTGAGAGTGTAACACAAATAAAGTATCAAATTACGCTCTTTATGCAGATTTTCATGGAACAGCTTTCTGTGAAGTCTGGTTAGAACATTAGTGTCGCGCAAATAAGCAGTACAAAAATTTAAACTCAAATCGAAACAGCTGATTCATACATCAACACAAATTTTACTTGAAATAAAATGTATGTATGTAGCATTTTAAAATTTCGACAGATATGTTACGCCCTCTCAGATGCTCTAATTTACTTGAAAATTTGCTGGTGGAACGCACTTCTGTGTACAGAGTTTTACTCAACGTAGCTCGTGGAACAGACCTATTATAAACCGGGTGCTGAAAAGTAGTGCGAGTACGAGATATGGGTAACGAATTTTAGGAATGGATAGCAATGGCTGCAAACCATTGCAGCCATTGCATTCTTGTTTTGCAATTTAATTTACAAGTTGTTATTTTAGAAGAAATCAGAAGAAAACTCTTAAATGCCTATTAAATTGATGAGGCTATTGAAATTTAACTGCTGGTGATGATATAAAAAGATTAACAAGCTTATATCCTTTCCAAGCTGATGAAACTGTTGCAATTTAAGGTTATCGCTTAATAAAATTTCCTGTGAATAGTAACTCGGTTAGTTTTTTAATTATATTTTCAGAGAATAAAACACGTAAGTAAATAATAAAATATATTTTAATAATTAATTTCAATCAATTACTTTAATAAAAAAATTTTCCCATTTTATTAATATTATTTTTATTCACATTAAAATAGCAATTGAGACAACAGAACAGCTGATTTAAGCGTTGAAAATTTAAGCAAGTGATTATCGAAGTTTAAACAAATTCGAGTTGCTTACATTATGTTATGAAAAAAGTCGTAATACCACCAAATCTAAAATTGTTGCTGTTTTCATTGTTACTTGCAAAATTGATACGGAAAAAAGTGATAAAATTCTATTACACGGTCAAGGTGGTAATTTCGTCACGTCAGTCAAAGCACTATTGCTCCCTAACAATGTCAGAATTTGTGCTTTTCTCAGAAGAGCTGAATATATCCTCTTATTATAGGCTTCCAGATCACTGTACTGTTTTGCAGGCAGAAGTGACTGTCATAAAGGAAGCTTTAGCTTAGCAGAAGTAGTTAATATACTTGAAAAGGACATACATATACTATAGGATAGTCAAGCTGCTTTAAAGTTCTTGAGTTCAGTCTAATTTACATCAAGGACAATTTTTGACTACTACACATCTCTAAATGAGATGTCTACGCAGTTCAATATTTCTCTAATCTGGATTCCCGGTCATAGAAATATTTTCGACAATTGCAAAGCAGATGAGCTAGCCACACGTCGTGCTTCAGGAAACCTCTCGGAACACCTAAGCATTCTGGGTATCTCGTTAACACCATGCAAATTGGATGGGAAGACTCTACGATATGCCGGCACCTGTATGCAATTTGGCCACACACCAATAGAAGAAAATCAAACTCTCTTATAGAGATGTCCCGTAGAGCTATTAGTCCTGCAGTAGGTTGACTTACAGGACATTGTATTCTAGATAACCACGCTAGGAGACTAAAACTCCCTTTCAATCATATCTGCCGCAGTTGTGGTGAGGATGATAAGAGTGACTATCACCTGGTTTGCTTCTGTCCGGCACATGCACGGCGCCACCATAACATTTTAGAGACTTTCTTTTTTGAGGATTTTGGCGAACTTAAGCTTTGCCAAAGATTCTAGATGGTCTAATTGGATCACCAGTATAACGAAATTAACATTACTAAATTAACTATTGATATTCGCTTAGTATATATTCATGGTCATGACCAAAATAATTTAAAATTTACATGATCATTCGTTAATTGACAGTCTGTATAACAAGTGTGTTAATAAACCATATAGCAATACCTTCATGACAGTTCAAAATTGTACTAACTAAGTTAAACGTCGGCGACTGCATTAACCGAAGATGATCTTACGCCTCAAAGTATCTCGCAACAACTATTTTATTATTATTATATTATTATTATAATTGTCGTTATTATTACTATATTTATTGTATTAACTATTCTTACTAAAAATAATCCAATAAAACCAAATTAGGAGAATATATAAATATTTATATAGATATTAAAAATTAAATATGCAGTAAGCATGCAACAAATAATGCCCCTACAAACAGAAAAGTATTGAAATTTAACAATAAAAAACAAAAATATAATTAATTAATTAAATTATTTTACAGCTGGTTTATGATTTCGTTCTAATATAATACAACAAGTAGATTTGTTAATAAAAAACTCTCACAATAAATTAACAAAAAACTTCAGAAAAATGTACGAATATAAAAGTCAAGTACTTTGGATCAGTTGGCTAATAAACACTAACTCTGAGCTTCAAATTTGGCAGGGCACGAGTTTGATTCCTGGTACTTGCATTCTCAAAAAAATTATTTACGAATAATTAAATACAAGGATTATTTTCAAGACCACTGATGATGGGTATTTGACAATACTGGAAACAGCTGTATGATCAGCCAAAAATTCAATAAATTAAAATAATATAAAAAGAATTTTTGTTGCTGTAGTTCACTACTTTTCGAAACACCTCAAAATGAATATAATAATTACCATATTTTCAGATGTAATTCATATGTTATTAGTGTATGAAATTAGTGTATGAAATTTTGTTCTAATAATACCGTAATTATCCATTTCTCCAATGCATATTTTAAACGTATTCGAAATGTTGCAGGTGCTACAGGCCTTGTTACCTATAAGTATAGCTACAAATAAACATTCGCGACTGAAATTCTATTTGAGGTCGACTGTGAGTGAAAATTTAATAAATTGATCAAATTCTCTCAATATCGGAACATTGATATTGATGTTGATCAATTATGTATTAAATGATTTTTTCTCGTTACCTCGGCATGAGAATTTGTTCTTACAACTGATGCCGAATACAAACTTATTTTTTATATTCTATCGCATATGCTGTTAAATAGTAAATATGTAAAATAAAAATAGAAAAGACTTTGAATATGTCCGAACAAATTTCCGAATAAAAATTATCCAGTAATATCTCTTCTGTAACTAGTGTACAGAAAACTAATTGATGGAATTTTATTTTTATTACTTCCAAAAAAAACTTTAATATCAGGTATACTATTTGTAAACTTTATTCTCTCTCCGTGGTAAATTACAACTTTCCTTACACATTATGAATTGGGTCAAGGACATCTTATATCTCATCTATCTCATCTATCATTTATCATTTATCTTTTAACTCCATTTTTCATCGTTGACAATTCTTTGAATTTACTGTATGGTTGAATGTTAAGCTCGAAAACCAAGCTTGTATGAGCACTATTTTATTTATAGATCTGGTTCTATTATATTTCTGCCGTCGGCACACAAGATAATTACTTGTAGGTGAATTTTTCGCTACCTTACTTTTCTAACGAAACCATTACTTTATCATTAAAAACTTCCTTTTATATTAATTTTATCAAGTGATAATTTCGTATTGAAATTGCTACTACCAACCTGGTAAATTTAATCAATTTGTAGAGTATTAAAGTAATATCCACTATATTTTAAGGGAGAGTTCTAAGTGGTTGTTCAGTATATACTCTAAACCATTTAACGGCTCTTCCCTGATACATACGAGAATGCAAAAGTACGTGACTTTTAATGGTTGTCAACTTCGCGGAGCAATTTTACCACACAATAATCTCTGAGTCTCCTCCAAGTAAAAATATTATAGATTATAGTGTTATAGATGAGTTCTTTTAATGTTCAAATACCAATTTTCTAAGAACTATTATAACATTTACATAAAAATCAATATAATATAACGTTAATAGAATGATAACGTAGAAATGCTTAAAAGTTATCTTAACTAGATAATACATTATATCAGTAAGTCTTAACATTGGATAAGACTTATGATATTATAATAAAAATCATAATCTCACACTTATGTATTAAAGTATTATATATTATTTACTTTTAATACCTTTTGGATATTAATATATTAAGAGGGCATAGATAACGCTAATGTTTTTTGAAATGGCGTGGGCTGGAGGTGAATAATTTGTATAGGCAGTGCTATAGGAGCATGCACAAAATATTCTGGATTATTATTAGCACTTTCAGCTAATGGTTCATCTGGTACGTGAATTTGAAATGGTTTGCCTATGGGCGCGTTAATGCTCTCCAATGTAGACTGTTCATAAACGCCATTATTTCCCTTTTGAGTGATTTTAGACTTTTTGGATTGTTGTTGGTACAACTGTGCTGAACGGATGAGATTTGTGGCTTTGTTATGTGCATGACGTACTGCTTCCGTTTGTTTATGTTGATTTATATTAAAATTTGTGTTGAAATTTGTTGCGTAGCTGGCTAAGTCCCCGCCTTCATGTTTTTGTTGTTGGTCATTGAATTTTTTATACCCACTTTGTTCATGTTCATTATAATGTTTATGATGCTCATATTCAGAATTGACGGCATAATCCTTATGGTGCTCGTGAGGATCACCATGTTGATATTCATGTTGTGGTAATTCGAACTTATATGGTTCCTGTGTGTGCACATACACCGGCACTTTTTTCTCAACTTCCACTTTGTATGGTACAGCTATTTTCTTTTCAACTTCAATTTTATAAGGTACTGGAATTTTTTTCTCTACAGCAATTGGAACTTTTACTTCTACTGGATACGGTACTGGCTTCACAACTGGGTAAGGTTTAGGAACATGTACAATTTTACTCACAATTTTTTCAACAGCATATGGTTTTGGTACATGGACTATTTTTTCAACTGGAACATGTACCACTTTCTCAATAATCTTTTCTACTGGATACGGCTTCGGAACGTGGATTATTTTTTCAACTATCTTTTCTACTGGAACGTGCACTACTTTTTCTACGGGATAAGGAATTTTTTTCTCAACAATTTTCTCTACTATCTTTTCCACTGGAACATGCACTACTTTCTCTACCGGATATGGTACCTTTTTTTCGATAATTTTTTCCACTGGATATGGTTTAGGCACGTGCACAACTTTCTCTACTGGCACCTTAACAACTGTTTCAACTATTTTTTCCACTGGATATGGCTTAGGTACATGAACAATCTTCTCAATGATTTTTTCTACAGGAACATGAACAATTTTTTCAACCGGATAGGGCTCTGGTACTTTTTTAATTATTTCTTTTATATGATTATGATGATGATGGTGATGGTGGTGTTTTATTTTAATTTTTTCGTGCTCTTCGTGGTTGACATGATGTACTTCCTCATTGTTTCCTTCGTCACCTGTTTCTTCGAATTTATGCTGTTCAACCGGAGATTTGATATGTTCATCGGCTTGATGAGTCTGAAGCTCGGCGCTGTGATACTGTTCCTGATGTGGTCCATCAACCATATGCTCATGTGATTCTTCAAATGTATGGTACACCTTAGGTTCGTCACTTTGATGGTGTTGATGATAAATACCACTATCGCCGTGGGTATGTTTTTTGTGCCGTTGTTGTGTCTTACTTTGGAATATTTTGATGGTTTTCTTCTTTTGATATTGCTTTAACGGTTGGTATTGTGATTGTGATTGTGATTGTGACACAGTTCCTGCTTGCTCCTGTGGCTGTACCTGACTTCGATAATGTTTTTGGGATCCTCGTTTATCTCGCGTTGTCTTGTCATACGGCACAGTGTTATGTTTGAAATGACTAACTTTATTTGTTTGCTCAGCATGTGAATCCTTGTCAACAATTGAGTTTTTTTTCTTTTCATAATCGTGATTATGTACACTGTACTCATTGGTATTGCTCTTTTTATCTGTACTGCCCTTGTGTTTTGCAGTTGTATATCGGGGATTAATCAGAAGCAATATTAATACCGGTAAAAGCATAAACTGTAAGATAAAAGAAACAAATATACATTATTAATGTAGATATCGGTCAATTGCTTTCTTGAATAACTAAACTAGGAATGGTCTATTTGTCACTGTAATATAATGAGAAGATTTACTATGTTGTTCAATAAGTCCAGTAAGTGATATGGGTCTATTAAAATCACTGTAATATAATGAGAAGATTTAGTATGTTGTTCAATAAGTCCAGTAAGTGATATAGGTCAATAGTTTGACTAACCATTTGACATCATTTCATATTTTGAAATATTTTTCGAGAATATATCCAAAACTAAATTTCGGTTATTCAATTAATTTTTTTTTTTTTTGCGAGTCATTTGAAGTTGACGCGAGAGTGTACAATGAAGAAAATAAGACATCGTATAGTGATTCAATTTTCTAGAAATTTGCGTCTGCATCAATGGAAATTTGTACAAAAATATTAAATGCAGTAATAGAGTGCACTGCTTCAAAACCAATAAACTTCCGGTAAACCACCGCAAATATTGGGTCCGTAAATGGAAGTTAAATTTTAAAGACTTCCAACTCGGTGTTTCATTTGAATACCATAAACTAATTGAATGATCTAATATATAAATTAAATATTAATTATGATATCCCTGGAAAAAGTCTATAAGTTCAACAAACTTATGAAATCCAGATGTCATTTAATACAATGAAAGTAAAATAAAGGTACTGAACTCGTTTCATGGCAATCGCAGAGTGGAGCTGATAAGATAGTCCTTATACTTTTTTAATAGTCATAGAGAAGAAAATACGTATTGAAAATTGAAGTCGTTTGAACTTCCGTTTGAACCTGAAGTTTATTACTACTAAAAAATAAGATTCAATGCAATAAAAATGCAATTTATGAGTGTGTTATTATAATTTTCTTCCAGTCTAAATTTTTTTTTATGATGTAAGAGAATTTCACTTTAAAGTAGATTTTTTGTGTCAAATTAAAATGCAACAAAGTACTTCCTGTAAATAGTATATCCCATACATTTCTAACTTTAGATTAAGATACGAAAAAAGCATATAAAATTGATATTCCATTTGTAAGATTAAACTATTTCAAGTTGGTTAAAGATGAATATATCTGAGAAAACCTAATGCAACATAAGTTAAAAGTCTTGATATGATCCAGCGCCACCAAATGTTATACATAAAATAAAATCAACACAAATTTATTATCTTTTTGTCATATTATTCAAATAGTATTATTATTCAAACAAAAATTATGGAACTCAAGTTATAGTATCTTAATGCTATATCTTTTCTTAGACCCGCTAAACCTTATAATCCAGAAGTATAAAAACTGACTGCGTAGTTATAGTATCTCAGTGCTATATCTTTTATTCAATCCGGTAAACCTTAGAATCCGAAAGTATGAAAACTGACTCCATTTATAAAGGAAATGGCAACTCCGAATGAAACGTTTGTTATATTTCGATGTAGGAGGAGAGTTGGCTGATGCACTACCAGGGCTTGATATAAATTTTTGTGTTATTGAACGATCGGTTTCTAGCAACTCTCATGTTACGTTTGAACCGAAGACATTTACACTTCAACGTTATGATTTTGGTCAGCTTGAATCTCACAAATTGAATAATTTGTGATAAAGTTAAATATGTGAGAATTGGTTCCCCGATATCAGTGAATTCGTTTCAAATATGATTGATTAGTTAATTAAATACCGCCCTTTTCTAATCATAAACAATATTCTATAATTATGAATCATCAAGAATAACTATAGTACTTTGTAAAACTAAAGCATTTTTATTGGAAGTACTATTTTACAAAAATATTATATTAAAATAAGCTTAAACACTAACAGGTTTCATTATTTACTTATAGTTCAGTACAAATATACTGAATGAGAATTGTAATTGTTTATTGAACTCTTTATATAAGTAAAGAATTGAACATATAATTAAGTGAATTTATTTTAATATAATACAGTTTGTGCTTCACTTTTAACAGTTAAGTCCTCTTTTTCGGTATTGGTGATTAAAGATTAAAAAATATTGGTGGATGTATTGTAGTCTAGCTTATCTAGACTAGACTCTTAGTTGCTGAAATGTTAAGATTGTTAACTTAAACGTTAATATTTTTATTTCGTATTGTGAAGATCACATAAATCGACTTTAATAAGTTCTTATTTATATACTATAAGAAACGTTTCTAAATAAACTGTATATTTTTTTCTAAGAACAAATAGTAATGCATAGGAATATACAAATATTCTTTTGAAAACTTGACAAAACTATTTGCAGTCCGAGTTAAATATTCTCTTCTCCTCATATGCAGAGAGTAATTTCATATTTTGGTGATATGAATTAGATACCAAGGTCAAGCGATTTCTCACGATATAACTTTTTATTGTCGAGTTACGGAAAGGATTGTGTTTATGCGGATCATCTTCAAATTTTCAAAGTGTTGAAAACGAGTATCTCTTTAGTTATAGCCTGAGTTATTGCTAGCTATTTACCAACAAGTCATCATATATATTATTAAAAGGACTTATGACTGTAAAAATTCCTTTTGATAAAGATTGATGAAATGGTGCATTTAACACAGCAATATTAAAACACAGCTATATTAAAATATTTAATTTGAACGATCACAAGTGTATTCTATATACGTTTAGTTATAGAACTATAAACTAAATAATTTTCTATTTATGTTATAACCAGTTTTTGCACTATTATTTCACATTGGCATTAAAAATTATTCTTTAATATCAATTAAATATTGGTGCTAGGTTTTTGTTAGAGCTGAGATTTTTGATAGGGCTGAGAGAGATACAGTCTTTATAAGAAAATATATGTGACACTACACTCAGTAATGAATCAATAGGTGTTTGTGGAATTTTAAATGTTTTTTATGACGTCACTTAAAATAGCAAATTATTTAATTGATTTGTAATTTTACTTGAACTTGAAATTGTGTTTAATTAAAATTTTTTGATATATTTTTATGAATATATTTTATATTAATTTTTTATTATTTTATTTTATTTTTATTTTATTATTAATTTTAATATTAATTTATGTTTTCAAGTTTTTTTCAACAATTTTTGAAATTTTTATGTCTATTTTATTATTAATTTTAATATTAATTTATATTTGCAAGTTTTTTTAACAAATTTAATCAATTTTTGAAATTTTTAAATCTCACCACGAAACTAAATTTATCTTTATATAAATCCCAACAATCATTATGAAGTATACATTAATGTTCACAAAGTATATATCTTTTTTTTTGTAAGTTATTCATGTGTATTTCTGAACACTGATTTACCGATTTGAAGCAGGTTTATTATTTCCTCCCAGAATTATCACATATTTTTATATAAAACTATTATTAGAAAACACAAATAAACATCATATATATAAATTGTTCCGCAGATGCCATGAATTTTGAAACTTTTATCCATAAAATACACCGATTTTTTATACCGATTGCTCTTTGAAATCCAAATATTCAGTTTTAAGATTTCTTTAGTTCTTCATTGTTGAACACATGATATAATCGTTTGGTTAGTTTCATGACCTTTTGGCAACTTACCATTGACTTCATAATCACACTACTTTTTCTAATATATTTATTCTTCACTAAATATTGTAATTAAATCTGCTCGATCAATCAATTCGATTATTAATATCTTTTGTTAATAATAATAATAATAACAAATTTATTTTAAAAAATACGATTTAAATCGAAGCTCATGGTTTATGTACCAGTAATCATCTGAAATTTATAACTAAGCACCTGCCACATTTATAACCAACGATCTCAAAAATTAATAACAAAACGCAACAAGAAGTAGAGTAATAAACTCTATATAATTTTTTTTTTAATGCAGTTATTAACTTTTATATTTGGTATTTATTTACACAAAACTCTTCAATTAAAAACAGGAAAATTATTTAAAATTTTTAATAAAAAAATTAAAAACCTAACATTGAGCATTAACAATATCAATCAAGAGATATGGGAATAAATATACATTTTAACGACTTCTCACGCGATCTCACTTTCATATATACCAGAGCAAATATGTACGGATATTTCTGACAAATGTATGTATGGTATGAAAACTTCAACACTATCAGGTTATCCTTGTCCGCGGCATTATGATTGCAAGCTTTAAAACAACTTGTTGCACTCTGCACTCTGTAATTGAAAGAGAGGACACATTACTAATGATATTTAAATAAAAATTAACAATAAATTGTTCTATATAATACCTGTAATAGTCTGTCCCACGCAAGATATGGCCAGCGAAAAAAATGCATTATAATACTATAAGAATCGGAAAGACATATGACTAATATAGGAAAGAAATTAAAATCTGAATAGCAGATAAGATGAGCAATTTCCTATTTTAATGAAATAAAATATGTCTAAATGATCGATTTCCAGCAAGCACCAAGTAATAAGAGAATGAGTGTTTCAGTTTTATTTTTTACCAAACTCAGTGATTTGGCAAAAGTCAATACTAACTCGCTAAGTATTAAGCCTATATGTTCACATATCTGTCTCCCCTGATTACCGGAATGAAGTTTCCTCAATGCTATGGAAATCTTCTCCATTCATTGCTAAGAGGTGGTTTTAGTGGGTTCAAGTCTCACACTATGACTTTCAATGCTTCTAACCTACTCTTAAACTGAAAATACTCAGCAAATATAAGTAAGCCGTTTCTTTTGTTTTAATTAAAAAATGTAAATACGCTTATTCTTTTGTAAGCATATTGCAAAAAAACAGCCACTTATCTTAAAATCAACACATGAAACAACAATACTGCTGGCTTATTTAGTTCAATTACTTTGAAAGCGCCTAACTACTCGTAATAAGCAGTTCAAGTCGCATGATTCATCCATTTGTTAATTAGTTCTTTAAGTACGTACAAAATTTCCAGTCAACTTTCAATGTTTTTATAAATTCCATATTCATATTTCGTTATTAGTTATTGTTCCTATTTTTTTCTACTTATT